CAATAATAAAAATTAAAAAAAAAAAAACTCTCTCTATGGGGCTGGGGATGTGGCTCAAGCGGTAGCACGCTCGCCTGGCATGCGTGCGGCCCGGGTTCGATCCTCAGCACCACATACAAACAAAGATGTTGTGTCCGCAGATAACTAAAAAATAAATATTAAAAAAATTCTCTCTCTCTCTCTCTCCTCTCTCACTCTATCTTTAAAAAAAACTCTCGAGTTTTTCTAGCAAACACAATCTCTAGCAAATAAAGGGAAATATCACAGCTGGGGAGCCTGTAGATCAAGAGAACTTAAAAGACATTTTATGTAACATACAGATCTTGTTTAAATGTTGATTTGAACAAAAAAAAATTTTAAAAATCATGGGATATTTTGGAAATTGAATATTGAATGGACATTGAATGATGTTAAAGAATTATTATTAGCTTTAAAAATATGATGCTGTGTAGTGGCTGTGTTTTTAAAAGTCTTTCAAAAAATGGAGTCAATTTTTCTTATTTGCAGATTCTGTGTTTGTGAATTTACCTATGTTCTAAAATTTATTTCTAACTCCAAAATCAATACTTTGCAGCCATTTATGGTCACTTGCAGGCATGTGCATGCAGAGTGGTAGAACATTTGAGTTAACAAACATTCATATTCCAGCTCAGGTCAAACAAAGCAGTGCTCTGACTTCTTGTCTCAGCTGTCTGTAACAAGTGTCCCTTTCATGGTTTACTTAGTGTCCCCTTCTTGAGTTTTTGTGCTGGTGATTTCATTGTTTACAATGACCCCTAGTGCAGTGCTCAAGTGCTGTCTCCTGTTCTAAGCTGTGATGTGCCTTTGTGGAGGAAATATGTGTGTTAAATAAACCTTGTTTAGACGTGAGTCAAAGTGCTGTTGACCKCGAGCTCAAAGGTAAGAAATCAGCAATATATTGTGTTTAAAGAGAAACACACATTGAACAGGATTATGTATTGACTGGTTTAGGAAAATGTTGTGCTGAGAAGGCTCGCAGAAACCTAACCCTACGTGTCCTCTAGGAGCAGAGATTCAATATTCACTAATTCATTGTGTGCAGTACTTTACAGAACATAACCACTGTGAATAATGAAAACCAACTGTAATCTGAAATATTGACTTGTGAAATCCTATTGTGCTAGAAAACTGCTTCCAAATAAGATGGACAGGTTCAGGATGGCCACAGGTTGATGACTGCTAATGCAGAGTAAGGGGCACATGGGGCTTAATTATGCTATTATCTCTACTTCTTTATATCTTTTCACAACAAATTTTCACAACAAAAAGTTTTGATTTTTKKGRGAAAAAAGAATTTTGCTTAAGTCTCTTCTATTTCAAGGTTTRTATTACATTTCTAGCATTAACTAATATTACAAGTGGGCCTATTCTTTCCTGTGTATGATCTCTTCCATTTAATTCTATTTCAGTCTAAAGGTAGATCATGATTAAATGATCATTTATAATATCTACCTCCAAAAAGAACAAAGCTCAAATCATGCTGTCCATTTACTCAGAAATATCTAGTGAGCATCCATTCTGTACAAAAATACCTTGGCCCCTGGTCCTTCAGCCTGGAGAGCTGCCCAAAGGTCAGTTCCACCTCTGCTGCCCCAGCTGGATGAGCCAAATCTCAGGCTGAAGCAGCTTGGTCTACCTCCTTGAACTTTATTCATCTCTTAGTTTCTGCCCTTTGTTTCCTCAGTATCTTRTTATGTCTTTGCTGCACATCTTTTAGTTGTCTTTCAGTGAAAGAAAGTCCCAGAACTGAGCACCAAAAGGCTCACATCAAGGTTTTAGGGCTTTTAAATCAAGCCCAAATCTTCCCTCAGGGACATGGTGATCAWGTTACCATATGGGGGTTAGAGAAGGTATTTCCAAAGATAATAAGACCTCTACTCAGACCTTCTATGTTCTTGACTTGTTGTGGAAAAGAACTTAAAGATGAGTGAAGTCTCAGTAGCAAAGAAGGAAATTTATTACAGAAATTTAAGTATACATTCTCAGGGTGTGGGCTTTGAATATATTCCCCCAAATCACAAATAAACACAACAGCAAATAGTGGATACTTAATGGCTGCAAGTGTTTATGCACAAACATTGAGTAAACATTGGCTGAACACTAAGACATGCTTTTTGGGGGTCTTGGGTCCTTCTTTTAAAGGAAGCTTTTGTGGGCATGGGAAGGCATGTGAGCTTCGGGAACTCAATTTTTTGATGATGGATCTCAAGACGTTTACAGTGGTCTGGTCTGCTTCAGGATCTTCTAGATTGACACTCTCTTCTCTGATTAATAGGTAAAGTCTGGATTATATCCAAATGATAGGTTTCTTATAATACATCTCACTTTTGATTGTCTAATCTAGAAAGACATGTAAGTCAGCTAACAGTGCACATAAGCATTAAAGTAGGGCAATTTTCACAGATGAGGGAAATGGAAGTAACTTTAAGACTTACAGATTTCTCAAGAATTTGGGAGTGACAGGCCAGGAAGAAGGACAGGACTCAGAAGTAAAAGTATTAGTAACTYCATTCATGGGGCTTTTATATTTAAGCTGAAGATTTTCTTTCCATTCATTTTGTCTCCTTTCTACCCATCTATTATTTCTTCTATACAATCTCAATCATAGTGCACTTTAATAAGATTTCACATCTCTAGTWGTGTAATGGCTGAGTGTCTACATAAGGCTTTAATAACATGCAGAAGATAACAGAGAAGGCAGCCCTGTCTATCCACTCACACCCAACTGAATGTCAGACCTTGAAAATGCCAAAAAAAAAAAAAAAGTAAAAGCTAGACCACATTTGTAAACTTCCAAAACTTTGAATATATTCCCCCAAATCACAAATAAACACAACAGCAAATAGTGGATACTTAATGGCTGTAAGTGTTTAAGCACAAACATTGAGTAAACATTGGCTGAACACTAAGCTACACTGATCTGCCAGCAATCCAAAGGGATTAAAATTAAAATTAAAAACAGAAGAAAACAACTGAGCATAAAAATTAAAATTAAAAACAGGAGAAAACAACTGAGTATAAAAATCATCAATGGCACACTGTGGAAGAAAGAGAATCCATAGAATTAAAGTATACAAAAGCCCTAAATAAACAGCAAAAACCCCTGGTGGTGGTGGTAGAGGAATCCGGATCCAGACTTATTTTAATATATTATTTAAGATGTTACATTTTCAACAAAATATGCAAACAAAGGAAAATATGTGACCAATACAGAGGAAACAAGAGTCAGTAAAAACACTTCTGAGAGGGTCCACATGTTGAATTCAGGAGATCAACGCTTCAAAACAGCTAGTATATATTTAAGGAAGTAAAAAAAAAAAAAACTGTCTAAAGAATTAAATGAAAGCATGACATTAATAGCTTAACAGAGAATAGCAATAAAGAGACATACATGAAACTCACATGTTTCTTATTTTTGTATTTTAGTAGGTTTTAAAATCAGAACTGAATTTGATTTCCATAGGAGAGAAGTACTTTTTGGGGAGTGGGGTACTGGGATTGGCTTAGGGGCACTCGACCACTGAGCCACATTCCCAGCCCTATTTTATATTTTATTTAGAGACAGGGTCTCACTGAATTGTTTAGTGCCTCACTTTTGCTGAAGCTGGCTTTGAACTCATGATCCTCCTGCCTCAGTCTCTTGAGCTGCTAGGATTACAGATGTGCGCCACTGTGTYTGGCCAGGGAGAAGTACTTTTTATAAGGATATTCTTACTCACTCTAAGGTTGATCACAGTAATAGATGATTTTACAGAATATTTAAATAGAATGTAAAAAGAAACATTTTTTTCCTGGACTGTGGAAAGATTATTGGCTGTTCATCCACAGGGACATGCCTGGAAAAAGCTGTTGCTTCTTGTTACCTGTGTCTAACACGACAGTTTCAGGCTCATCATGAGGATTCTGAGAACCAGGTGTCAAAGGGTAATTAAGTTTTTTATTCAAAAAATGTGTACTCTGTTTCTGGCACTGTACTAGGAATTGGGGATTCAAAGAGAATAAAAAATCATCTGAAATGCCAAAAAGAAGAGAGAGAGAGAGAGAGAGAGAGAGAGAGAGAGAGAAACATACATTATAAAGAATAAATGGAAATTCTGGAGTTGGAAATACAATAAGAAAAATGAAAAATTCACTACAGGTACTCAGCAACAGATTTGAAGAGGCGGAGGAAAGAACAGCAAATTTAAAAACAGATTAAGAGGTCTGGGAACGTAGTTTGTGGTAGAGCAATTATCCAGCATACACAAAGCCGTGGGTTCCATATGCAGCACTAACCAAAATATATATATATTAATAATGATTAATCAAAACCACACTCAGAACAACTAAGTCAGGCAAAGCCAATTTAGTGCGGCTGAGCAACACACATATATACATTATACACACACACACACACACACACATATATATATATATATATATATATACACATTTTATATATATATAAAATTATTCATGAGGGATAGCTGACTTAGGCGTTTTTCAGCAATGCAGTGAAATGCAGTGCAGACTTCAGATCATCCAAGGACTACAGACTGGCCCTATGTTAAGCTCTACAACCTCCGAATCTCTGTTCCCTACCTTATCTCTCACCTAAAGGGCCCTCTCTGCTTTTTTTCCAACCTCTCTTTACTATTCAGATACAGCTACTTGAAACTCAACAACCTAAGTACCAAAAAGAATTACATAAGACCTAACACAGTAACATGCATGGAGCTTTTGTTGCCCCACACATCCCAATACCACCAAACATAGCATGTGCCTGTGTGCTAACACCACCAGATCAACAAACATGGCATTTGAAGCAATTCACAGTCACATCGAATATTTTAACCCTCAATCAGGAAATTTGTCCTCTGTGAAAAACTAATGGGATGAGGGAATCCTGCATATAATATTAGTTCATTTTCACTTCTACATATTTTATTTCACTTCCATCTCAAGCACAAAAGAAAATAATCAAGCACTTCTCCAATTACCTGTTGTGTAAGACTGCGGAATGGCCAAATCTATTGACATCACAGTGGAGATTAGGTCTGGGAAGCACTGACCAGCGGTCACAAGCTAGAAGCAAGAAAAACACATTTCAGAGAGGACTGCCATTCATGAAGAAGACCGTAACACACACACAGCTTTGTAAAACATGCCTCTCAACTATTAGTCATGCTATGATTGCTGGGTAAAAACCAGCAGCAGTGGAGCAGTAGGGCACAAAAGAAAGATGGGTCACATGGCAATTCCAATTAGCATCTGACATTTATGACATCACTCACCCTGCTGTCCATCAGTTTTACACACTGGAATGTTTGTTTTTGTTTTTGKTTTTGGTTTTTGCCATGCTGGGTATCCAACCCACTGCCGTGTCCATCATGATAGGCAAGCACTCTACCACTAGACTACATCTCTGGCCCCCAAGAATGTTTTTTTTTAACTTAAGCAAATTTTATATTCTACAAAGCTTAAGTGAGTACACTCTSTGAGTTCCACAATTGTTTTCTACTCCTTCCCATATGGATCTGCCCAAACTTAGTAGCTACATAGAAAAATGCAAGTGGAAATTAAAAATTCAAAAATTAAACTTTATTTAAAAATTTAAAGCCCTTTCCTAGATCTCCTGAGCCTCCTTTGCCCTGACCTATGCTAGCAACGTCCCTCTGACTGAACACCAAGGGTGCTCCTGCACCACTCCACTCACAAGCTCACTGCCTCACTCTCGGGGACACTGCCCCAGAAGAGCTTCTTCAACCTTGACCCAAACCTACCCGGTCTTCTCCACCCCATCTTCCTCAACATGGAGAACAGAGGCCACAACTGCCCCCAGCTTCCTGCCTACCCAMCTTACTTCCTTCCCCCCAAACCAGTGGGGCAGATCCCTTCCTCTTCTCTGACTTCAAAGGCCCCTTCCTTGATTCCACAGTGTGTACCCGCTTTCCTTCAGGACTCCATGCCATCTTTGGCCTTCACCACAGCATTTAAATATGCCCAAGGCACACAAAGGAGAGGCCAGATATCTCAACTCATCCTCTGTTGTGGTGTAAACTAATTAGTAAAATCAGTAAGAGTGTAAGATAYAGGTTATAGATTAGTAAAAAATAGAGATTATAGATCTAAGATTTTGAGAAATGAGATAAGACAATTATAAAGCRAGAACTGTCATGGACAGGCCTCAGACTCCATTTTGCTGCCTTCTATTAAAAAAAACAACTGTTACAAGAGCTGTTTCTGAGAAACTGAAATGAAAGTTGTTTTCTGATTAAAAAAAAATGTTTTCTGTGCTTTGTACCCCACAAAATGTAAGTAGATTCTTGCCCCCACTAACCCCCTGCTTGAACTCAGGATATGGTTGTCCAAATCCTGCTTGGACCCAAGATGCGGTTGTCCAAGTTGCTCAAGCTAACTGCTTTTATTTTAAGCTTCTGTAACTTGCTTGCTTGCTAACTGGAAAATTCCAGTCCTGCTTAGGGCTCTGAGGTCCTGCTTTAACTACTATTTTAGTTTCTGTGATTGGCTTACTCACATGACGCCAAGAAAAGTCCCTGAGCTATAGTTTTCATCCTTAAATTCTCAAGAAACAGGTCCTGAAATTGCTGTTGTTCTCCCACAGAGCTTCAGTCTCCATGGGTGAGTGACAGTCCCTGGCCAGGTAGTTCTCTTTGATTTGAATTTCGACTTAAGAGGGTTTTCTGAAGCGGCTCCTCGTAACATTCCCGAAAATTAACATTTAAGCAATTAACAACAGTGACTTACAGAAGAACTATATGTAGAAGTAATGCTTTCTAACAAATGTGTAACCTTAGTCAAATAAATACAAAACTACCATTTGGACCTCTTTCAAGTGGCCTGGCCATTTGAACTAGTGATATTTTCAGTTTCTTTTTAAAATGTTGCTTTTATATACAAAAACACTTCTGAAGAGAAAAATGGCTCTGGGAAACTTACCAACGTCATAAGCCATAAAGTCTGAAGAGAAGCATTTGGCACCATGGCTCAGGGATGTGTCATTGTGTGTATTTCCTCCAAACACCAGCRTGGTTCCACTCACTATCACAGCTGTGTGCAAGTAACAGAAAAATCRGCTGTCCTTAAGAATGGTCCTTTGAGTTTATTGAAAAATAATAAATATAAGGTTAGTTTTTTTAAGAATAGTTATTTATCTGCTAATGCAAACTCAGCCACTTTATTAGCTTCAAACCCAAATGTGCAAAAACCTTCAGACTTTTCCTTACATGAAATCTAGACATGTAAAATCCTATGAGAATCTTGGCAAAAGATATTAACACCCTTAAAATGTTCATAACATAGGATGCTATAATTCTGTTTTCTGGGAAGAAATCATATGAAACACAGAGARACACTTATGCATGATACTTTACTAACAAGACAAAAGCTAGAAATAAAAACTTCCAATCACACAGGCTCARTATACTCACAAGATGGAGTATTACAAAGCTAATAAAAATGATGATTTTTATGCCAGACTGAATGTAAAACCATATTTATGGGAATGGTCTTTCAGATATGTGATGAAATACCAAAAAAAGGGAAAACATTGCTTTAAAATTACATTATTTCATAACTCAAATTAGCTTTGTATTTGTTAAAATGAGCATACATTTTACAGGCTGATCTGTAATTCAGCATGAGGAGAGCTCTATCAATTAGGTATGAGAGCATCCTGTTTGATGATAATATTGGATTATGCCAATTACTGACCTCAGGGGTGACACTTTGATTACCAAGACAAGGTTCAAAAATGGATATATCTTCCTGGAGGTACAGCTCAGTGGCAGAGAACTTGCCTTGCATGTGTGAAGCTCTAGGTTCCATCTCAAACACCACCACCAAAAAAAAAGGGAATATGGTCTACTTAATTATAAGTGTGTGTACAAACTCAACTACTGCTTTATTCCTTAGGATTCCGAAGGGAAAAAAATTACAGTAGGGTTGAGTGTATGAAAACTGAAAATCAACCCAAGAATGCCAAGTAGTTTCTAACCACTGTATTACAGAATGTAGGATAATGCAACAAAATAAATGCAGCTAATTTATTACCCTATGCTTTTTCCTAATTTCTTTATATATAACACTGAACAGAGTTATACACCAGGCCTGAAAACAAACAAAAAAAAAAAAACAAACAAAAAAGCCCAGCAAAATGTTTTCCCAACAATTGCATCTAGAGAATTCACAGTTTAAAGCAAAAGCTCAAAAAAAAAAAAAGCACCCACCACATCTGGGTGTCCACATCGTATCTGTAGAGGTCATCTGCGAGCCTGTATTTAACAGCACTGAAAGCCTTGTAACCGCCGTGGACATACAGGGCTTTGGTCCTGTGATCAAAAACACTRCTGTGGCCATAACCCCCTTGCACAAGGGCAYCCTGGGTGTGCAAAATACTCCAGGTGTTCCTCTCTGGAAAGGGAAAAACAGTCAAAGGCATACAGGTTCCCCTTCTCTAATATTCAACATCAAAATATCTCAAGGATGGAGAAGGGATTTCACAAGAGCTGATGCATATAATTTCATCCTTTTATCTTAAAAAAAAAGTCCATCCAAAACTTGTAACAAACCCATATGGCCAAACTCCAATCTGTTAAGTGTTCTGATGTTCTAACATGCTATACAGGAAAAGAATTTCATTAAACTGATTCAGATTCCAGCCATATCAATGTTTATAACATCTCAATTCACAATAACTAAGCTATGGAGCCAAACTAGGTATATATACATAATGGAGTATTACTTAGCCATAAAGAAGAAAGACTTTATGATATTTGCAAGTAAATGGATGGATCTGGAGACTATTATGCTAAGTAAAATAAGCCAGTTCCCAAAAACCAAAGGTCAAATGTTTTTGCTGATATATGGAAGCTAACCCACAATAACAAGGGAGAGGGGAAGAATAGATAATAGACAAAGGGGAATGAAGAAAAAGGATAGGAAAAAGAAGACAGGGGTATGAATCCAAAATAATTCTCCTATTCATATATAGGTWCMTATATGAATATACCACAGTAAATCCCACCATCATATACATCCACAAGAATGGGGTCCAAGCTGGGCATGGCGGCATATGCCTGTAATCACAGTGGCTGAGGAGGCTGAGGCAGGAGGATAACGAGTTCAAAGCCAGCCTCAGCAAAAGTGAGCTGCTACATAACTCAGTGTGACCCTGTCTCTAAATAAAATACTAAATATGGCTGGGGATGTGGTTCAGTGGTTGAGTGTCCCTGAGTTCAATCCTTGGTGCCCTCCCCGMAAAAAGAATGGGGTCCTAATTAGAATAAGACACATTCTATGTTTGTATAATTATATCAAAATGAATTCCACTATCATATATGACTAAAAAGAACCTATAAAAAATAAGAATAAACAAAAATCTTGGAAAGAGACAAAAGAGAATAAATTGGCTATAAATGCAGGGGTTTAAAACTGTTTTAAAATAAAAGACTCATATTCCCYTCAAGTGAGAATTTAATTCCCTATGATCTTTAGTAATCAGTATACAGATGTACTTTATAGGCCTCCTATCTCAAAATATAAATTATAGCTGATACATCTACTGTACAACAACAGATAAAACAAAATTTAACCAAAGGAAAGATTATGTATTAAAGGAAATTCATACTCCATTAAATCAACCACTAAAGGGCCATCCAAATTTTTCCATAGCATTTGTAGTTTGAACTACTTTTATTTATTTTAACACCTTTAGTATTCAGCACCTCCTTTATCTCCTCGAAAATTGACAGTAGAAAGGGGCATCAATAACCTGAATTTTACTGTTTATACATCCATGTTATCTGCATTTCAAAATGAAGAACTGGATCTAGGTTAGCTTGAATCTTGTTTAACATCCTAACAATGAAAGGAGAGGTTTTTAAGTTGATATTTAAAACATGTCCACTAGAAAAAATATAYCTACCCAAATCATATTCCTATACATTGCTTATATATCCATAGAGAGGGCAGTAACCAAAGATGACCAGCATGACCACCTGGCCACTCTCCAGTGTTACAATGTGTGCTGAGTGTCCAACCACTGCATACTGCTCCTTTGCCTTTGGGGTCAACAATACCCATAATTCGTTATGAATATGAAACACTCTCAACTCATTGGTCACATTGCCTGTTGAATCAATTTTTCCTCCATACATGTAAATTTTATCCTAGAGGAAAAAACATAAA